ATATATATATATATATATATATATTATCCCAATTCCCATTTAATAATGTTGTAAATACTCAATCCAGTCTTATTTTCACAGTCGCTTTGGCTTTTTTTATTCCTATTAAATACTTTTTGAGAATTAAGATGTATTAAAAGGAACTATTACTTCTTTAATATTTAAGATATAGTTGGAAATAATTAATAAATTTAGTCTCCGTGGAAACAACCTCTTGTAGAAATGCAAGATGCATATAATAAACTCTTGAGAACCGCCCTTTTCTCGAACCTTGCGCATAGTAGGAGCTTAGTGCATCGTACTGCCCTATGCCCTTTTAGTCTTAAATTCTTAAAGTAATAATATTTTGGAATAAATTGTTTCAGTTAAAGCAACACTTGAGAGAATACCAACAAGGGTTGTGGTGAAGTGGTAAGTACTCCTTCATGCGGGATTTCCCAACTAGATTTAGTCGGGATCCAATACGGGTACCAGACACCGGATGAAAAAAAAATACTTGGGAGAATAGTTTTTTTTTTCTTTTCCGAATGCTGTAAATAGTTGGCGCCCTTATTATTACAATAGTAACTATTACTGGTGAATTTTCCTTTTCCGGGGTTGAAATAAAGGTGTCAAGGGGCCAAGCCGGTCGGGGTAGAGGAAAAGGGAACCAGTCGGTTTCGGTACTGGGCCGGTTTTCAGTTATTTTTTATCGGGTTTACTGATTCCGGACTTCCCCGGTGCTAAATTTAACCGGAACGGTTCCGGGCCTAATGGGCCGGGCCATTTTTTCTTTTGTATAACAATCATAATTTATATTAAAATAAAGTAAACACTAAAAAGTAACGTATAAAAAGAATGTTTGAATAAATTTTAAAGGCTTTAGAAGCCTTATAATTAAAAAATTCATTACGAATTTAAGATAATACAATGAACATGAAAAAAATATAACTTATAGTGTAAGTCTTATAGTGTTGATAACTTGATACGTAAGGATCAAACTTCAAAGGTTTTTATTTCAAATTTCATTGCATAATTGTACTTCAAATTAATCTAACAAACTAAAACATTAAGCTTAAATAAGTCTAATAATTTTAAAATAACATAAATTATCTCAAATCAATTTAAATACGAATTTCTGGAGGACGCTCAAGACAACTCTTCATATGCCTGCTTAAACAACATGTGCTCTCCTACTTTCGACGAACATTTAAGACTCGACCACAGTTCTTGCACTTTACTTTGCAAACTTCTTCATTTTCTTCTACCACCTCAAAGTGTTCTCAAACACATGAGCGCACTATAGAAGCACGTGGCATGATTTAACTTGAATTGAGAGGTCTATTTATAGTTTTTCAAAGGGATAAATTAGTAAATAATAAAAGTGTTATTTTTTTAAAAAAATATCCAAAAAGGGCTATTCTTGCAAATTAGCCATTGGAAAACGGTCAAAATGGCATCATACCGTTGCCAAGGATCAACTTTATTAAAAAAAAAATTGAAATAGCCGTTGAATCGGTCCGGTCCGATTAATCCGTTCCCAAATGACTTGATCTTAATCGGTCGTACCGGTCCGGTTAACCGTTACACGCGGCCTAGGCCGGTTCCCGTCCCAACCCAGCCCTTACTATCGGTCAGGTCCGGTCTAAAACCGGTCCAGTTTGACACTTGAAATCGGGGAGTTGGAGCCGGTGAGGGTCTGTGTATGACAGAGGTTTTTCTTTTCTTCATCCCCGCTCTCGTCCTTTCATCACTGCAGTGCTTATACGCTCTCCTATAAACCAAACTCCCTAAATCCCATATCCAGCGAGCTTCTTTCTCGTCATCTCAACTTCCAACATAGCAGCAAAAGCCCTACTCCTTTGAGGTTAGATTTCCACAAATATTGTATTGTATTCATCCAATTACAGATTCCAATTTGTTTTATAACTTTAAAATTCCTCATACACCTTTTAATGAGAGAACTATATTAGACTTCATCATAATACGGCGAACCCAGTGTCTCTCTCGTATTTGACTCGCTACTCTAGGACCTTCCTGAGAACTGCGCCAAAGAAATTATCTTTGTACGTGGCGAACAAGCATTTGCCTCGAAATACTGCCTAATAGATTCCTATGTAATCTTATTGTGCTAATACATGTTAATTTGAGTGTTTTTATATGCACGTTTGATGTTCGGTGAAAATCCTATGTCACTTAAAGACTGGATTGGGCCACTTTGATGGACTTCACTTAGGTGTTAGATGAAAGGATGATCACATTGTTTTTTTTTTTTTTTTTTTTGAAAAGGAAAAGGTTGATCACATTGTTAGGCAGCGATTCCATATCTTTTTTATGCAAGACTTCCCCCATGTTTCTACTGGACCGGCATGCAATATTAACGATTTAATCATGTATGAGTGAAGTGAAGAATCCATTTTCTATGTTGTAAAGTAGGATAAATATTTTACGTTTAAGGGTTGGCGAGGAAGTGCACATTCCTTCATTACTGTAATGTGGGGGAGAAGAGGAAGGATTTAAGGAAGCGAAGTACGGGACAATTGGAGAGTGCTTTATAAATCTGGATGTGAAGAGGAGACTTTCTTTTTTAGTTGTCGTTAAGTCGCAAAATCAATATCAGGGGAGGAGGGATAATAATTTTCTATGGAACAAAATAATTGACCCCTTCTCATTTTCTGCTCCTCCCTTGCACCATTTTGTGAATCGAACGTTTTGCAGGTTATCATTGTCCTTTGTGGATTGTGCATACTAGCTATTCACCCGATACAAATTAGTTTTTTTTCTAAACTGCTTCTTGGACATTTAAAGCATCTAAAATTTGGCATTATAATTAATTCTGTAAATGAATGAATCTAGGAATGCGGAGTTGTCTTGCTAAGGAAGGGTGTTTTGGAATATTCTGAGCAGTAGAAAGGAGGGCTTGAGCAGTGAAGAGGCAGAAATTCGAGCAGATGAAAGAGGATGGACGGCACATTTACCGACATTCCTCTTAGGATTTAGTGCCAGGCCTGCTGGCAACTCTAATTGAGTGTCATCTTTTGAATTTATCCAGTTTTCAAGATAGAGATACTTCGTTAGAATAGTCCACCTAGTTTGGAATTATTAGATTTAATTCAAGACAATCAGAACATTCGGCATGAAAGTTTTTCTAGTTAAAAGGTAGAAGACAGGGATAATGACCTTTGCGTTCATAAGGAGGACCACTTTTTGCAGAATTTTATCACCTTCCCAACTGGCTGTTGTTTTAGATCAAATATTATCTGCTGGTTGAATGAGTAGCAATTGATCTATTCTATTTTGGATAAATGATGCAGGTGCTTACTTGAGTTCGAATGGTAAATCAATGAGAGAACAGTCATTCGATTTTGTTTGCTGCTTTCAGAGTTTCAGGATAAAACTCAATACTATGAACAGTAGACACCATATCTTCTAGTGATTTATAAAATTGTGAATAAGTTTCTCTTATTTTCTCAACTTGGGGGAAGCTTCCTGAAAGAAGCAAAATGGGTTGACAGAAAAGCATTTAGTGAGAACATTCTCCGTTCTTATAAAAAATAAAACTTTGAATTGGATTGGTTCTCCCAATGCTAAAGCCACACCTCAGTTTATCTATTTTCTTCCTTTTTTCTGTTTATTGAAGACATTGGTTATGATCCTTCTCTCACCAGTCAACTTGCGCAGCAATAATATCTGTCTATTGAACTCATCCTTCGAAGACTTCTGTATGCAGGTGGACTGATTCTTGGCCAGCTCTGGTATCGTGTTAATATTTGACTCTTCAAAGTTTTGGAACTTTGGAGATATTGGATACTTATGTTTGATATTTATGGATGACCATACTGTACAGCCACTTCCACCTGGAGTTTCTATGTCAAATTCTTCACCGCGTGTGCCAACTTTTAATCCTGCAGGCCATTTGCCTCACTCCTTTCAGACAAGTGCTAATTCTCATTACAGTGCTGGCAATGGCGATGTCACTCTTTTCCCTGTTGTCCCTTCTATTCAACCTCGCTATGAAACTTGTCTTACCTCTGGACAAGAGTCTTCTGAGGCTATACTCAATACATTGCCGTCCAATTTGGAATCTGTTAACGGATTAAAGTTGCAGCCACAAAGTACTAATGATCTTGAGAGTGCTGCTCAGAATGCTGTTTTGCATGAACAGGTCTGTTGTACCCTATTTATTGGTGTTTTATTTCTTTCTTCATTTTATTGATCTAAATTATTTGTTTGCCTGCACAGGAAATTGCAGCCCAGAAAGTAATACAAAGTCAAAGGTTTGTCTTTGTTGGCTTTCGTTTTGTAACTTTATGAAACTAAAACTATACTGAATAAATGGATGGTTTATGACAATTTCACTTCTTAAATCCAGAGAAGCAATGCCTGCAAGCGGACCTGAGAATAGTTCAGATTTTTTCTCTGGTCGACATGACCCAAATGCTTTAAAGGTGTTTGAATCTGTTTTGGACTCTTTGTTATCTTTGTTGTGATATCTCTCATCGTAGCGCATTTTCTAGTTGGCCTTACTAAATCTGTCTGCTAACTGCAATTTATAGGAGCATTTACTCCAAATGACGGCAGAGCATCGAGTGCAAATGGCCTTAAAGCGTGGCAAGGCGACACAGCCCGAGGAAGGTTGGTATCTTGGTGCGATTTATGTGGAACAGTTGATATCCTTGTAATGATGTCATAATAAAAACATAGAATAAATTTATTACAAACCTTTTCTTTTCCACTTTTAATATTTTCCCAGGCCATGAAGCAACTGAAATGTAAATGTAACCAATGGTTACTGCCAGAAGTAATATTTTTTTTTTTTTTGGATGACCGAGTAATCCGTTTGGGGCCGATCCTTTGGACCAACCGCAGCCTTCGAAACTCGGTGGTTGCTGCCAGAAGTAATGAAATAACTGAAATGTACATTGAAAAAAAGTCCTACCTTTTCCCTCACAAGTATATATGTATGTTTACTTGCAGCATATGAAGGCACTGAAAGTCAACAAAATGAATTTGTTAACACCTATTGGCTTTATCTGGGTGATCCTCATTCTTTTGCCTTTTGTTTTATGTGCTAATTTTGGCTTATTTTGTTGGGAAGAACTCATAGTGGCAAGAGAGGTACCTTTAAGTTGTAACACTATCTCTTCAAGCTTAAGGTATATTATGACAGTTTGACCTTGGAAGATGAGTTAATAGGTATTTTGTTTCTACATATAAAAAGGAGGTATAATATTAATTGACAACAACAAATGAAAGCTGGAAATAATTATATCCAAAAGTATAGCAACATCACAGATTGTGTAACAACAACAACAAAACCAAGTGTAATCCCACAAGTGAGGTCTGGGGAGGGTAGTGTGTACGCAGACTTTACCCCTACCCGGTGAAAGTAGAGAAGCTGTTTCCGATAGACCCTTGGCTCAAGAAAAAGGGAAAAAAGGAAGCAGTAGGAACAAACAATAACAACAACAGAATAATAAGATAATTGAAGCGAACGAAACATCATATAGTAATAGAGATCTAAGAATAGGAAAATACAAGAATAGTACTAATACTACTGGAAAGGAAAGGAAATAAGCCAAAAAGTAAATCATGGGTTCAACAACATTTACTACAGCCATGTTGCACCAAAAGATAAGAGAAAAGTGCATTTGTGTTTGACACTAATTACCTATTCCTTTTTATTTTCACAAAGTGTTGACTTTCTTTCTTCCAGATAGATCACCAAATTGCTGCTGAAATTTGAGTTTCTTCTCTTATATTTCTCCCAAAACTTACAAACAAACATGCCATTTCTAGTTGGTGACTCCAGTGTGATAGCTCAGCGGAAAGGGAAATCAAACAAGCAATCAAAATTATATAGAAATTAGAAGATAGAGAAAGAAAGGATAGATCAAGCAAGAGACGTAATTATCCAAATAAGTATATTAAACTCGAGCCTTTACTGACTAACTAACAATAGATTGCAAGATTAGAATCCAAAGGGAAAGAGAGATAGAACTCATTCATATTTGAAGAATCCAAGAGATGTTCAATTTGAAGAGATAAAGGTTTTCCCCTACAACTCACAAAGAGTTTCACATCAATTATCATCAAACACTAGCTAAGAAATGAAGACATAAAACTACACCTAGGGTACTAATTAGTATTACATTGGCCTAAAAATGACTTGGGCCGATTTAGAATTTCTGTGCAATATCATGCTAGCTCACGATCACAGTATGTCGCAACTGTGCCTTTTGCTGAATCAGGCTCCTTCACGATTGCGGAGCTGTCAGTGCTGGGCAGCCTCTTTGATTCTTTGAACCCCTAGTTGTCTTGAATCTTGGTAAAACATCCAATTAAGCATATTATGAACCTTAAAAATCGTCTTTCTGTGATTCTTTAAAGCTCTCCAAGCTCTTGATGGTTGAAAGAATGCTCCAAAGCCAATGATAATTACTTTCAGAGTTATTATAGTGTTATTAAAAGCCGTTGCTTCTTCGATTAAAGTGATGAAACGAGAGTTATCGCCTCATGGATGAAGTCATATGCATTAGAGAAGTGTGCGTTTCAAACATGACGCACAAAGTAATCCAAACAACGAGTGGTCGGTTCTTTGCATCTCAACTTGAGGAGTTGGATTAATATCGACACTACTATTTAATGGATGATAAAATTAGTTATTTTAATTGCAACTTGATTATTTATTACTATATCCATCTATGTTTGGTATATTTTAGTTTTCCGTAAATAAATTGTGCTCTTCACTTCACGCTTTTCACATCAAGCTCCATGGGCATTGCTTTTGTGGGCTTTTAACTTTGACACTGGGTGAATCAACTTTGAAATGACAAGACACACATACAAGTATGTGATTTCTTTCAAATTTGGTCAATACATTGTATATATTGATTTTTAACTACTTCGGCCGATGGATGAGCCACGAAGAAGAAGAGAACTCCATTCAACGGAAGTTACTGTTACAAATTGCGAATTAGGTAAAAACTTGTGGTGAAGTAGGTAAAAGTGACAAGTGTAGCAATAACGGCAGTAGCAAGAGTAAGTTATGGTGGCCTGTGTTTGTAAATATTTGCATTAGTTTATAGGTACATGAAATTTCTAATAGCTTAAACAGGCTGCTTCTTGGTCATGTACCGAACGAAAGCTGGGGCCATTTATCTCAATGCTCAAAAACTTCTTTTTTTCATTCAACTGTTATTTTGCATGGGCCTTTGATCAGCTAATGGTTGTGCATGCTAACTCCCCCCAAAATTTTTCATTGGGAATTGGCATGGATTAGACTATCATTCAGTCACAGTTAAGTATCAGAGGATTATGGTTGAAATTGTAATATCATTAAATTAAGGACGTTCGTAAAAGTTGAAATTGTTGATTGGGCTGCTTTACCTTCTAGCTTTGCCTCTTGTTTGGAAATAGAATTACCTGTTAGGTGTATTTCTAGTGACTTATAGAAAAAGGTCTAATCAGGTTTTACATGATGAACATTTTTTTACATTCTACCTAACATATTGGGACAATGTTCATGACACTAGTAAAAACATTCACAGAAAATTAGCTTAAAGTGAGCAAGCTAATGCAGACAATTAAAGCTGATTGTTATTTGAAGAAAATGTAATCCCACTACAGCTTAACTCATTGGTTGATGGTTTTTCAAACTTTGTTTGTCTACTGCATGTCAAGAATGTCTGGTATCATGATCAGTTTATTTGCTTTTAGTTGTACATTCAAAACTGAAAGTTGTAACTCCCAAGTTTTATCTGAATTCTTTCCAACTCAGATTGCAGGTTCTCCTTAGGATTTAAGTAATAGATTGATACTCTACTTGTCTTATAAAAAAAGTAATAGACTGATACTGTTAGAATAGTGATTTACCAGATGTTTCAAGAAACGGATCTATTTCTTGTTTGGCAAAATTTGGGAGTTGAACCACTTTATAGGTGACCCTACTATGTTTATCTATGGTGAAATTATATTGTTGTGGAGAAATTGTAGGGTCAAAGGGAGATTTAGATTTTGCTCACTCCATCTCTTCCCTAAATTGAACAAATCCAGAGCAGACCTAAAATTAGAACAATCTGGAATCTAGATCCAAGTAAATAAAGACTACAGTATTCCGTTGTAAATTGTGTCACCAAAACAGACAGGGCTTTAGATTTGGCATTCTTTTCTTTCATGGGTGCTCGTACATGATTAGTAGCACGAAATTCAAACCACTGTTTTTGTTCTTTCTTAGTATTGACATTACTTTTATCAGAAAAGAGTTCTTTTTAAGTATTGGAAAAAAAGGAAATTAATTCTGGAATTTATGGTCAGATCGTCACCCGTTTTGAGGCAGAATTTCATGTAGAGGAGAGACAAGTTGCTCCTTTCCGTCTTCACAAAATGTTATACTGTAGAACCATATTATGAAACTTGGAAGTGAAACAGTTATAGATGGATAATCCTCTTCAGTTATCCTATGATGCGTTAGTTCGATTTGACTTCAAATTTTCGTGTTATTACAACAGGATGAGGAATAGTTGAATGTCTCCTTTGCCAGGTAATGTGGAAATTGGAAATGGATATGGTGTGCCAGGTGGAGGTGCTTATTACAGTGCTTCAAATCCTGATGTCTCGATCTCCAGTAAGATTGGCTTCCTGTTCTTGTTCTAAATTCTATATTAGATTCTTTGGGTTATTTGTTTTTGCCTTTTCATATTCAGAGACAAATACAATCACTGGTCACAGAACAAATCAACATGGTACAGAGCCTAGTGGGAGTTCCGGACATAATTCTGTTGGTAAAGAGTTGCCTGAATACCTCAAGCAGAAGTTGAGGGCTCGAGGTATTCTGAAGATTGATTCAGAAATAGAGAAGCATGCCATATCAAACAATGTAAGTTGATTATGAATTACAGGCTATCTTCCTAGGCCCTGTTTAAATTTTGACGTACTTCAGATGGTCCTGGGTGACTAGAATCTTGAATTAGACATCTTTTTGTCTTCTGACCTGTGTGATAAACCAAAATATCCTCTTTGTTTCGTATGAGATACTCGTCATCAATTCCTAGTAACCTCTGTTTCCTAGAACTCATTTTTCAATATCCATTTATCCTCTTCATACTTTGTCTCTTGAAAATGAAATGTCTCTAACAACTCTATCTGAAGTAATCTGCACATTTCAGAGCTCAAAGGCACAGTTATCAAAGACATCAGATGCCAATTTGCCTGTGGGATGGGTGAGTTATGGCTTAATATACTAGTTTAAGCTTTCCTTTTGAAGTTCTTGATTTATTGCTTTTTTGTGTCAGACATCTATACCTGACTATAATTACGGAATGTTAGCTTATGACTTGTTAAAAGCTTCAGTCTAGTTTATTTGTTTATTTATTTATTGATTGATTGATATTTTGGCGATTAGAGCATTCCTACTCTCTAGTTTTTTCCTCTTTCTTGTCTGGTCCTTGAAAGACTTTGACAATTGAAAGTGAATCGCCAAAAGTGACTTGTATTTAACCCATCTCCCTCCCAGCACACTTTTTGCAATTGCCTTCGTTATGACCTCCATGTTTGTTTCTTGAAAACACACTAATTCTACCCCCATTCTCTAACTCCCACCTTGATGGCGACCCTCTTATTAGGGTCATTCAATCCCCTTGCATTCTAAGATAGGATGTTAACCTCGATAGACAACTTCTTCTCCTTCTCCAACTCCTCCTACCTCCATCAACTCACCCCTCCCTCAACTTGTAGCTCTTTTCTACACCACAATTCCTCTTCCTTCTTGGGCTTTCACACCCCTTCCTTCCGTCCTACTTCCTTTCCCTAACTTATTAGCCTCATTAGCATCTCTTTCAATGTCATTCAGTAATTGCAATACTCTATCTTCCTTCCTTTTTTATAAAGTAGTAAGGTTTTATAAACAATGGGCAAAAAATTCACCCTCAAGAAGTGTACCAAAAAGTAGAAAAGCTTACAAAATGATACTCCCCCCGTCCCATTTTAAGTAAGACTTTTGAGACATGTGGTTTATAATAAGCTATATATATTTTGTGTGGCTATAAATCATCTCATTAGGGGTAAAATAGAAAGTTTAAAGTTGAATAGTTTCTAAATATAGAAAGGCATCATTTTTTTGAGGACAAACTAAAAAGGAATGTGCATCACATAAATAGTGATAGAGGTAGTATGGTTCTCTACACACGGCATCTGATTTTCTATACCTACAGGGACCTCATGGGTGCACCCAAATTAAATAAAGGATAAAAGGCTATCCTTCCCTTCAAAGGACACATCAATCTTCTATCCTCCATCCCTGCAAAGGACTCACGCCAAAAATTTCCCAAAGCATAAATACCTCTCCCTCACCCTTTCGGATAGCCTTCTTTCCCCTTCAATAATTGCCAAAGGAAAGGCATCGTTCTCCACTCCTGCATTTTCGTGCCTATTGGAACAACCAACAAACGTGGACATAGCAAATTCCGTATTCAGGGTCAAAATCTCTGCAACTGTCAGTAATTGAGTTCTGGAGATGCTGTCTCCTATTTTTTCACCTTCGTAGGTGTCTCCACCAGGTTTTAGTCTTTCAGACCACCACCAACATCCTTAGGATTGAATGCCATCAATTCCGGCTTCGTAGTAGTGAACCGAGAAGTACGTCCTCAAAGCAGTTCTTATACTTTCTTAGTAGTATCAATGAACGATACTAATTCTCTTTGTTGTGTTGTTTCAACTCTAAATTGAACCTACATGTGTTTGTTTAGCAATTTAGAACTCTGGGGGGAAAGTCAATATGATGTTTATCGGTGTTATTAGAAGTCATCGCTTAGCAATGCGAAGCGAGGGGTTATCGCTTCATGGATGAAGTCATGCACTTCAGAGAAGTGTGCTCTTCAAACAATGAAGCAAAATGATCCATAAAAGAAATGGTCGATACTTTACATCTCAACTTTGAGGAATTGGGTTAATGTCGTCATTGTTGTATATAAGATACTGAAATAAGTTATTTTAACAGCAATTTGATTATTGTAGTACTAAATTCATGTATGTGGTATAAATTGTGTGCTTCACTTCAAAGAAACACACGGTACAGATCTTGTCACTTGCGCTTTTCCCTTTAAAAAACACTGATGTTTATAGTGTTGATAATTTTCTGTAATTTGAGAATGCAGATTGAAGCCAGGGACCCTGCAAGTGGTGCTTTGTACTATTATAACGGAAGTTCTGGGAAAAGTCAGTGGGAAAGACCTACTGAGGCTCTTGCACTAGTTTCTTGGGGGCATTCAGTACTTCCTGAATTTTGGCAGGAGGTTTTTGATGAATCAACTGGTATGCTATGTATCACAACTTTGCTAGTTGTTTACTTGTTACATGTTTATTTCATTATTTGTGGATACAGAAAGATTTGATTAAAACACTTAAAACTTTTGACTCATAGTAATATATATTTTTTGATAAGGTAAAAATTTAATTTAATAAGGTACCAAGATTGTACAATAAAGTAACAGAAAAACATCCCAAATTACAACATCAGCAAACTATTCTCTCCCTCCTAACACCTCGAGAAAGTCCATAAATTGATTCAGATTTCCTAACTGGCTACATTTACACTAAAAATACAGATTATGAAGACATATATTCTTAATTCTAATAATGTTATTTCTATGTCCTTCAAAGCAAGCCTTGTTTCTTTCCAGCCATAAGATCCATAGAATGCACAATGGAATGGTTCTCCACATCTGTTTCAGCCTTCTAGGTACCCTTTGGGATTGCCAAGTTTCTAATAAGCACAGATTGAGGCATCACCCAAGAAAAACCACAGATGCTAAAAAATAGATCCCAGCATTGCCTAGATACTCTGCAATGCAGAAGTAGATGGTTCACTGCTTCTTGCTCTTCTTCACATAGGTAACACCTATTGCACAGGCTAAAACCTCTTCTCTGCAAATTGTCCTGAGTTAAACAGGCTCCCCAGGCTGCTATCCACCCAAAGCAAGCTACTTTACCTGGAGCTCTGGTTTTCCAAATAATCATCCTATGCCAGTTGTTATTTCTGTGATTTGACTGTTCTATCAACCTGTCATAACAGTTTTTCACAGAGAAAGTTCTATCCTTGCCGACAGTCCAAATCAAAGAGTCCACCTTGTTATGATCAATCACAACTTGTCCTACTAGCTGCTGCAGTTGGCAAAAATCCTCAATTTCCCAGTCATCCAAATTCCTTCTGAGAACTATCTGCCAACCTGTATCTGAGTAGAAATCAGAGATGGTACCATCCTTGTTAACAGAATAATTGAACAAATTAGGGAATCTAGGTTTTAGACATTCATCCCCTATCCATAAATCTGTCCAAAACTTGATTCTTTGTCCATTTCCAACTCCCAGTTTGGTATAATCCAAAAATTCTTCCCATAGTCCGCTAATGCACTTCCATAAACCACCTCGTGACTTCATGTGTAAAGAGGGAGGTCTCTTTACATTCATAGTAATATATTGAGTTAAAATATGTTTTTTTTCTTACATTCAAATATTCAATTTATGTTCTTCATTGTAGTAGGTTGATCCTTTTTTTTTAATAAGAATCTTGATACAGTTGCTATTTCTCAAAAGATTTTTTGGCTTCCCCTTTTCTGGATATGCCTTTTCCAGGAATCATTTCATTCTTTAGTTACATATTATAATGGAAATGCCCTTTTGAAGAAGATAATAAGTAAAAAAGGGAGGCTGCTGTAATTTTTCTTCGTTGATAAATGTAGGACCTAACAAATGTAAAAAGAAAAAATAAAGAAAGAAGCAAAGAAAGAAAGGGTGATTCAGGCTTACAAATAAATGCTAAGGTCATATTCCTGAACTACCTTACTTTTTACATTGGGAAAACCTAAGTGCCAAATAGTTGTAAAAAAGTTGATAATTTCAAAGGATCTGAAGAAAGAGAAATAATCATCATTTATTACTACTAAAAATGAGGCAGTGATTGCTGGCAAGTGCCGCAACTCAAGTGAAAAACTATAGAAGAACAGTTCTGGGCTCAAACCAGGGGCAACTATCATCTACTTCTCCCGACCGACCAGATCCAAGTGGTCCTTTATTTTTAGGTTACAGCAAATGAAACTATTACTTCCTCAACAAAAGTGTCATATTGGTACAATGAATGGTGGACACCTCCTATTTGTAAGCCCAATGCTCTTTGACATAAATGGAAGGAGTTGGAGATATAGCTGAGTGATTTTGGACCAAATCACAACCCTTTTATAGACGTGTATAAGCCTTTATTTTCAACTTCAGGTTAAATGATCCTTCTTTGTCTACTCGTGTTACAAGAGGCCATCAAGAGTAAAATGAGTAGATTTCATATGGACGGCTAGTTACGTAAACTATTAGTACATGTGTTTTCTGTACCAGTGCAAAATAGATCTCTTTAAAAGCAATCTATTCTCCATGCTAGAACAGAAATTCCTTTCAGTTGGAGCCATACAACTTTTTACATCTGTATATATCTCATAAATAATCTCGATATGGTAGGTTTTGCTAGGCTTAGTCTTCTTTTTCCTTTTCTTTTCCTTCATAAGAAAAAACCAAAAGGTCCCGAAGTGCTTCAACTTGTAAATCTAGGGACTAAAGTTGTGATAAACATAAACCTTAACACTGGGATGTGAAGTACAATTTGGCAAGTTGCTTAGAGCACAAAACACACATATGAAAACTGCAATTTGATAAGTTGGTCTCTAGATCTTTGGTGGCATACTGTTGATTATCTTGATATTCTTTTTTCTTTTCCCCTTTCTCGTTGCTGTAATCATTCCTGAGAAGGGGAGCCTTGGCGTAACTGTAAAATTGTTGCCATGTGACCAGGAGGTCACGGGTTCGAGCCGTGGAAACAGCCTCTTGCAGAAATGCAGGGTAAGGTTGCGTACAACAGACCCTTGTGGTCCGGCCCTTCCCTGGCGCCCGCGCATAGCGGGAGCTTAGTGTACCGGGCTGCCCTTTTGCTGTAATCATTCCTGACACGTTATGTTAAAAAGCCGTGTTTTAGAATAAAATATAGACGAAGGTGCAGTAATGCTTGGGATAAATGTGCTGATTTTCCGAACCCCTAAATCCAGAGGTCCTGTTACATTTCTCCTTTATCATTTTGGGGCAGCTCCATTGTGTCACTGCCCAACTAGGCATGAATTTACGATCATGGGGTCCCTGTACATCATAGGTTTGACATGCCTTTTTTTCTCTCTTTTTGAACTGATGAGTGTGTAACTTTTTAGTACATTGTCTGTTCGTTTACTGCTAGACAAATAAACAAAGTGAATCTTATCTTAAGATATCAGAGCTTATCTAGTCACAATTTTGATTATTATCGCTATCTAATCGTCAAAGTACTCCCCAAGTGCAAACCTGGTTATATGAGTTCCTGACATTTTCAAATCATTTTAAACCTATATTTTCAATATTACAAACTGTGTTTGCAGGTCAAAAGTATTACTATAACGCAAAGACGAATGTATCCCAATGGGAGCATCCTTCTAAACCACAGCAGGTTCCCATGCAGCACCATGATAGAGCAGTTGTAAGCAATGCAACTAATATAACTTGGGGTGATCAAGATTCCACATTCCGGAGATGCATTGAATGTGGTGGATGGGGCGTGGGCCTTGTACAGTCGTGGGGTTATTGCAAACACTGCACTAGGTATGTTGTCAATGTATATATTTTTCTCTTTTTGACATTTTCGTGTTTACTTGTCTTGTCTTTGTTCTCGTATATTTGTACTGCGTACAAGTACTTTTTCTTGAGCAAGATTCCAACTTAAACTTTTATTGCAGATTTTAGAGCTTTCTTGTTTTTGCTCTCCTATTTGCTTGCTGTTAATGTACTGCATTGCCTATATGTGCAGTCCAATATCTACTATATGTAATTGAATTAGAAGGGTTCTTTGAGTTTAGTGTTTTCGCTTCCGTGAAATAAATAAATAAATAAATAAAAGTATTCCATGGGTTATAGCTAAGCATTTAAAGGAGCCGTCTCAAATTCAACGATCATACTTATCTAGGATGCATCATTCTTCTGAACGTTGATACTGTTTTGGATGCAGAGTTCTCAAGCTTCCTCAAAGCCACTATCTGTCAGCAAATGTGGAGAGACAACAACAAACTTCTGGCTATGCAGGTGCCACGGAAGACACTGAGAAAAGGTTCCTGTTCACTGTTCAAGTCTATATAATTCTAAACAGCTTTACTGGTACACTTTGGTTTTGTTTAAAGAAAACTTATGGGCTTCTCTGGTGCTGTTAACTGTTATTAAGCCTCTCTGTTATCCCTTTTTTCTTTTCCAACATCTCCGGGGGGAAGGGCTCGTTGGTGGTGTTAAGGGAGGTGTGTACCTGAAGATAATTTTATTGAAGGGGAAAGAAAAGAGCCAGTTACTTTTTCTTGGAATTGAAGTGGAGGCATATTAAGGGTAGTTTGGTATGATGGAAAACGTTTTCCACGGAAAACATTTTCCTACGTGGAAAATGTTTTCCTAGAAAATATTTTCCTGGAAACAAGTCGTTGTTTTACTTAGTTTCTGGTGTTTGATTAGTAAGGAGGAAATATTGTCGCAAGAGCATTTTAATATAATTTAAGCAAACATTATAATCCTCGACCTGGACCCGACCCCGACCCCAAACACGGTCCTTGACCCTGACCCCGGGCACCAAAACCTACCTAGACACCCGATCCGAACCCCGAACACTGACCCTGACTGCGACACCTGACCCCGAACCCCCACCCCAGACCCCGAACCCGACCTTGACCCTAGCACCTGGCCCTCGACCTCCGTGTTTC